CTCTAGTCTCTGTAAGAGGATCTCATGGTCGACAGTGTCAAAGGCAGCACTTAGATCTAACAAGATTAAGATTGAGACTTTGCCTGCGTCAGTGTTCAGCCGGATATCATTTGTAACCTTGACGAGAGCAGTCTCAGTGCTGTGGTGGGGTCTAAAGCCGGACTGAAACATATCAAATGAGTTGTTGATTATAAGAAATCTATTTAGCTGTTGGTAGACAACTTTTTCAAGGACTTTCCCCATAAATGGCAGATTTGAGATGGGACGATAGTTGTTAAGTACCGTAGCATCCAGACTGCTCTTTTTAAGCAGGGGCCTGATGACTGCAGTTTTCAGGGCCTTTGGGAATATTCCAGAATGAAGGGACATGTTTACTATCTGTGTGAGTGAAGGTAACAGACTGCTCAGAACAGACTTTAGAAATCTAGTGGGTAGTACATCCAGGCTACATGTGGAGGCGCTCAGACTGGAGATTATCTCTTGGACAGTTTGATCATTTACAGGTGCAAAGTAAGTTCTGGCTGTTGGATGGTTATCTGTGGATTGGAGACAATGGCGTTTTTGATGCCTTGAACCTTGTCATTGAAAAAATGTGCAAACTCATTACATTTACGTTTGGAAGTTAGCTCTAATGGCATCTGAACAGGGGGGTTTGTTAATCTATTAACTGTTGAAAACAGAACACGCAGATTGTTGCTGCAGCCTTCAATCATTTCAGAAAAATACCTTTCTCTCGTACTACGTAGCACCTGGTTAAACTCGCACAACTTATCTTTGAAGATCTCGTAATCAACCTGGAGGTTGGACTTGCGCCACTTCCGCTCGGCCCTCCAGCACTCTCTCTTTTGTGCCCTGACCGAGTCTGCTTTAGCCCACGGCACCTTCTGCTTATTTTTCACTATTTTAACCTTCACAGGGGCAACGGTATCCAGAACATTCAAAACACTAGAGGTGACAGAGTTAAACAGTTCATCCACAGTAGAATACGATGCATTCTCAAAGTTTATCATTCCCATAAATAGTTCACCCGTATTTTCATTTATGTGTCTTCTTCGTACAGTTGCAGAGTCCACTGGTGGTTTGTTAGTGAAACACATGTCAAAAAATACACAAAAATGATCCGAAAGCGCAACATCGACCACGTTTACATTTGAAATATTCACCCCCTTTGTAACTAACAGATCTAGAGTGTGCCCTCTGCTGTGGGTGGGGCCACTCACATGCTGAGTGAGACCAAAAGATTCAAGAACAGAACTCAGCTCATTTGCATTTCTGTCATTAACATTATCCACATGAATATTAAAATCCCCTGTAATAACCAAACTATCAAAATCTGTGCATAAAACTGAAAGCAACTCCGTAAAATGATCAATAAAACTGTGACATGACTGCGGTGGCTTGTATAGGACAATGAAGAGTATTGGACTAGATTGTTTTTGTTGTATTTTAAAAGACACATATTCAAAAGACGGAAACTTCCCAAGAGACATTCTATGGGAGACAAAGTGGTCTCTGAAAATGGCAGCTAAGCCTCCTCCTTTTTTGTTTCCCCGTATTTCAGATTCAAATTTGAAATTTGGTGGTGATGCTTCTATTAAAACTGCATTTTCTGTATTTTGGTCAAGCCATGTTTCAGCCATGAACATAAGATCTAGATTATAAGAACAAATAAAATTATTGATTAAAAAAGACTTGTTACAAAGAGATCTGACATTTAGCATAGCAAGTTTCAAAGTTTCAGTATCAGCGGTTGTGGTCGGCTGATTCTTACACGGAACAAGAATTAGATTTTCCAGATTAGACTGATTAACTCCAGATGTTTTTCTGTAATGTATTCTTTGTGTTATCACTAAAGGAATGGCACAGGTGGCTTCATGACAGGGCCCCAGCCGGGTCTCTCCTCTAACTAGACTGCCAGTGGCTGCGAAGCAGAGACCCTGTGCATCCTAGTGTTTAGAGAAAAGAGGGGAAGGTGGGGGAAGAGGATGGAGAGGCAGGTGGTTCTTGGGAGTTGGACGGGGGGGGGTTGAAGGTGGATGGGTTTTTGGTGATGGGTTAGGGGAGGGGCAGGCTGAGTAGGGTGGTGGACGAGGGGGGAGTGGAGGTGGAGGGTTTCTTGGTGCTGGGTTAGGGGGGAGGTGGGCTAAATGAGCAGGAGGGGGGGGTGGAATACTTATGGGGTTAGAGGAGGGACGGGTGGATTTTGTGGGAGAATTTGAGTTGGACGCCCTAGGTGGCTTTGGAGGTACGTATGGGGAGTAGTTTTGAATGTTATATAGGACTCTTGATCTGGCTACAGTGGGTGTGAGAGGAATAGTCTTCATCGCCGATCTTATCATGCCTGCAGAGTGTTCCGGTAATTCCAGTAGTGAAGGCGGGGATAGAAAACAAAGGGAAAGGTCGTCCTCATTTTCCCTAGATGGAGTGGATGTAGCGGGGGGGACCCAAGCCGGGTCCATGGAAGGTGATGAGGGAGTCTTTGGTGGAGACAGAGGTGGTTGAGGAACCCCCAGTACAGGCCTGACTGTAGCCTGGAGCAGTGGGGGAAGCTTCACGGGAGCTGTAGGTGGGGAAGGTGCTGCTGAAGATGATGGAGCAGCCACTGCTGCTGCTGAAGATGATGGAGCAGCCACTGCTGCTGCTGAAGATGATGGAGCAGCCACTGCTGCTGCTGTATCCACTGCTGCTGGTGGTGCTGTATATGCTGATGGCGCTGATGAAGATGTGGCAGCTGCTGATGATGCTGGTGGTGGAGGCGTTGAGCTCTTTCGGAGCCGTGGAGGTGTTGAGTTCTTTTGGAACCTTGGAGGTGTTGAGTTCTTCTTGAATCGTGGAGGTGTGGAGTTCTTTTCAGGCGGTGGGGGTGCAGAGACCTCGGGACTCGGTGGAGATGGTCGTGATGTCTGTGCCCTTTGCTTCTTCTTTCTCCCTTTCGACGGCTGCACGCGCTGCGCAGGCTGAGGTCTTAGGGCAGATGCAAAGTTATCCATCAACACTTTTACTCCGTAGTTGTTCAGATGTGGGCCTTTTTCTTCAAAAAGCTCGTGCCTATTCCAGAACAGGTTAAAGTTTTCAATGAAGCCAAGTCCTCTGCGTGAACACTCATTGAGTAGGAATGTATTTAGCTGATACAGACGGCTAAACTTCTCCATTTTTCCATCTATATTTGGAAGTGGGCCACTAAGGAAAATTGTTATGTCCATTTTCTTGAGGTCATCCAGTAACAGCGTTAAATCCATTCGTAACTTCTCGCTTGCCTTCTCATAGATATCTACCGCCCCCGTGTGGATCAATAATGTACGCACACCACTGTTCTCAGATAACACTTTAGGCAGAAGAGTTCTTATCTCAGCAACTTTTGCAGAGTGAACTGAGACAGTGAGCATGGACTCCATGTTTACATTTTTCACCGAACCATCTCCGATAAGGACACAGTTTGTCCTTGGTGGAGGCGCTGCAGTTGTTAGCGGCTTTGTTGTTTCAGAAAGGGGTAAAAAGCGGTTTGAAGTCTTCAGAACATTTAGTTGTGGCCTTATTTCACTCCTATTGTCATTCTTAGCTTTGTCAACTTTGGGTTTAGCTCCACAATTGTTCCAATAATTCTCATTGTTGATTTTGGGAAAAGAAATGACGTCATAACTTACATTTCCAGTCTGTCCATTCATCCCATTTTCACTCATTGGAAGAGTCGGGTTTAGTCCCATTTCTGTTTCCACAATAGATATCCGTGTTTGAAGAGATTTGAGCTGATTTTCCAAAGCACAACAGCCGCCGCAGACGCTTCTCCGTCTCTTTCGTCCCGACATGACTAAAGTTGATAAATTCCACAAAGCTGAAGTGTGTAGAAGGAGTAATCCTCGTTTTGTAAATAAAATGATTAAAGGAGAAACAAAAAAATGTAAATAAAATGATTCAAGGAGATTAAAAGGCGAAGCAAAAGCAGAGCCGAGAGACACACGGCTGCTCTCTTCAAAAGCATTACTTACTTACTTAGTGATCTGTTTCTGCTTCCAAAACCAGATCTAACCTAGCCTGCTCGTACCACACCATAGTACGGATTTCATTTCATACTAAGGTCTGGATTTGCTCCATTGACTCCGTGAACAGGTGGGAGGGGTTAACTCCTTTTGCAGATTGAAACGATTGGATCTGAGTTTACCGTGACATATGTAATGCGCCCAAGTCTGTTGTTAGCATTAGCATTTAGCCTAGCTTTAGCCATCTCCTTTGCCGCTAACGGAGCCCGTGGGGAGTAGCGCCACAATCTTGACCAGCGATTACATTTGCAAAACATTCCTCTTGCTCCTGCTTCAATTTCTTGATAGAACCAGACCAGAATACTTCACTATCGCATTCTTCGCCACTGCCAAACCACAACCTGCCCGTTCGACGCAAACTCTTGACGTCACCGGCACCGACCTACAACACCCGCCTCCCGCGCTCTCTGAGTAGCCGGTCGAAATACAACCGATTGTATTCGCTAACACAGGGACCAGACCCAGACGTTACATGCAGTGAAATGATGATTGAGCTAGATCTAACCCAGAAAAGGCCGCAAACTCTTTTTCACTCGACTACAAGTACAGCCCACTTACATACATACAGTTTTAGGCCCTGTTTACACGGAGGCGCTGCGCAGACGTTGCTATGAACAGAAACGACCATGAGGCTACTTATGCAACTTTCACAGCGTTCATACGAGGATCAAAAACAATGCAGTTCTCGCGCTTGGACGGGAAGACTTGGTTACATATAAATTACGGCCCCTTCAGCAACTTGGCCCTGGTTTAATTTTTAGTCTTGGCAGCCACCACCATTGTTGTCTTCCTCGTCATATACACCCTTCATCTCCTCAACGGACACATGAAAGTATTATCAAACACACAGACATAGAACCAACCTAGAGAGCATGAGCACACACACACACACACACATACGCACACATACGCAAATTACAGATGTTTTCTAACACTAAAGATGAAAAAGAAAACATATCTCACTGCAACAATCCTCGAGCCGCCTTTCATCCAGACGTGACAGATCTCGGTCGTCATCATCCAGTCATTAAAGACAGTTTGTGTGTCCAGAAGCTGTCTGTAGTGTCGACTATGGAAGCCTGAGAGGCACACTGCGTAAAGGAAAGTAGACCGAGGAGACAAAGGAGCCGTGGAGCGCCGTCCCGCAGCGTCTGCAGACAGCCCACAGACTTCATCTCTGCTGCTGAACAAGAATCCATCTCGGCGTGAGCGACCTCCACTGTGACCTCCCGGGCTTGACATTTTTACTCCGAGCTGCTGAGTTTGTAATAATGGTTATAATCCGTTCTTTTCTAGCCTGGTCTTAGCCATCCGGAAACTTTTAATAAACTATTTTAATTTCCTACATGTACGTCTGGGTCTGATCCTAGTGGCTGCACGGACCTCAGTTGACATGATGCAATCTCACTCCGGGCCTGTGGGGGTGTACCCAGAAAGAAAATTACCCACTGCTTTTGTATGGCATCTTCTTTCCTCTCGCAAACGTCTTCACAGGATGATCCGAAAGTGGATCTTGGTCCGAAAGTGGCTCTTGGTCCAAAAGTGGATCTTGGTCCGAAAGTGGCTCTTGGTCCAAAAGTGGCTCTTGGTCCAAAAGTGGCTCTTGGTCCAAAAGTGGATCTTGGTCCAAAAGTGGCTCTTGGTCCAAAAGTGGATCTTGGTCCAAAAGTGGCTCTTGGTCCAAAAGTGGCTCTTGGTCCAAAAGTGGCTCTTGGTCCAAAAGTGGATCTTGGTCCAAAAGTGGCTCTTGGTCCAAAAGTGGATCTTGGTCCAAAAGTGGCTCTTGGTCCAAAAGTGGATCTTGGTCCGAAAGTGGATCTTGGTCCAAAAGTGGTTCTTGGTCCAAAAGTGGATCTTGGTCCAAAAGTGGCTCTTGGTCCAAAAGTGGATCTTGGTCCAAAAGTGGCTCTTGGTCCAAAAGTGGATCTTGGTCCAAAAGTGGCTCTTGGTCCAAAAGTGGATCTTGGTCCAAAAGTGGTTCTTGGTCCAAAAGTGGCTCTTGGTCCGAAAGTGGCTCTTGGTCCAAAAGTGGCTCTTGGTCCAAAAGTGGATCTTGGTCCAAAAGTGGTTCTTGGTCCAAAAGTGGCTCTTGGTCCGAAAGTGGCTCTTGGTCCAAAAGTGGCTCTTGGTCCAAAAGTGGATCTTGGTCCAAAAGTGGTTCTTGGTCCAAAAGTGGCTCTTGGTCCAAAAGTGGCTCTTGGTCCAAAAGTGGCTCTTGGTCCAAAAGTGGCTCTTGGTCCGAAAGTGGCTCTTGGGCCGAAAGCGGCTCTTGGTCCAAAAGTGGCTCTTGGTCCGAAAGTGGCTCTTGGTCCAAAAGTGGCTCTTGGTCCAAAAGTGGTTCTTGGTCCAAAGCTTTGTTCCAGATGTTGTTGATGTTGAGAGGAGTATATATTTTGGACCAGTCTAGTTTAGCCGCTATGGACTTTTGAATGAACTTGTTAAATGAATGGGGCTAATGCAGCTAACTCATGCGCAAATGTATTTTTTCAATATTTTCCGCGCAGCCATTTTGAGACAGCCCATAGACGGCGAAAGTGGTGGCAAACTAGTTTCAACTGCGGAGATCGGCATGACTACGTCTTATTTACAGTCTGTAATTGAATCCCCTCCGACCAATCAGAGAGCGGGGGAGGCGGGTGTTGTAGGTCGGTGTCGGTGACGTCAAGAGTTTGTGCTGAATTTGCTGGTTGTAGTTTGTCGGAGAATGTGATAGTAAAATAATCTGTTCTGGTTCAATCCAAATATCAAGAAACTGAAGCCGGAGCAAGAGGAATGTTTAGTAAATGTCACTGAAGCAAAGATGTTGTGGCTCTACTCCCCACGGGCTCCGTTAGTGGCAAAGGAGATGGCTAAAGCTAGGCTAAATGCTAAAGCTAGGCTACATGCTAAAGGAAATAAATGAGTACAATGGTATGGTCAGACCAGGCTAAGAAACAAGAGTCTTATCAACAATTTTTTTACATTATGTTTTCAAATAATTTTGAAGTTCACCGATTGGGATCAATTGGGAATATTTTGTATAACTAACACAAACTATAAAAAACTAAATATATATAAATATTTACAGTGATACAAACCAAAATCCAATCATTTATCCTCATTTTCTAGACCTTTGTGTTCAACTCCATACTCATAACCTTTGTGTGTATGTTGCTAACTAACAAACTAACAAACCCTGGTGAAAACATAGCAGCGGGATCAGGGAAAAGCCGGTTTTCTAGCCCAATATCATCCTCACGGTCTTGTGTGTAAAACGATGGCCCTATGGTCTCCTTGCTCTGATAAGTTTTCCTGCAAAGTCACTCAATGTTAATTAGAAGGCAACGTGAAAAATAATATTTACAATTCCTGCCATCTCATTAAAATCATAACCAAAACAGATGGGCTCATTTGTGATAAACTGCACAAACAAGTGCACCTGAGGATTAAACCTATATTAGATGATGAATTAGTGCACGTGCTCCTTTGAGAAATCACAGCCAACACTGTACATGCACTTCTTTAATTAAGTCCTGATAAATAAATAACACATGTCCGCATCTGACCCAGGAGACGGCGGCTCAGAACCAACGACATCCGCAGTGTGGCTCTGACCTTTCCATAAAGCTGCAGTCCCCAGGCAGGTCCGGCTTCAGTGTGATCACCTGCAAACTACATGTGTTCGAGGCCCAGGATACGGATACTGTGTCCTCTGCGAAACGGGCGGCAAAGGCTGCTTAGTATTTGATTACTGCCATAACGTTAAAGATGCAGTCAGTGATCACAGAACATTAAAATCCCTCAGTTGTAGCACAGCTAAACAGAACTGTCTTTAACATGGTTTTAACAATGTCAGAGAGGAGGCCTGTCTCACATCTTCAGGAAGATTGTTCCAGATTTTAGCAGCATGAATCCGAAATGCAGCCTCCCCATGTTTAGTCCTGACTCTGGGACCAGCAGGAGTCCAGTCCCTGTGCTCCTCAGAGACCCAGCAGGAGTCCAGTCCCTGTGCTCCTCAGAGTCCCAGCAGGAGTCCTGTCCCTGTACTCCTCAGAGTCCCAGCAGGAGTCCTGTCCCTGTGCTCCTCAGAGACCCAGCAGGAGTCCAGTCCCTGTGCTCCTCAGAGTCTCAGCAGGAGTCCAGTCCCTGTGCTCCTCAGAGTCCCAGAAGGAGTCCAGTCCCTGTGCTCCACAGAGTCCCAGAAGGAGTCCAGTCCCTGTGCTCCTCAGAGTCCCAGAAGGAGTCCAGTCCCTGTGCTCCTCAGAGTCTCAACAGGAGTCCAGTCCCTGTGCTCCTCAGAGTCTCAGCAGGAGTCCAGTCCCTGTGCTCCTCAGAGTCTCAGCAGGAGTCCAGTCCCTGTGCTCCTCAGAGTCCAAGCAGGAGTCCAGTCCCTGTGCTCCTCAGAGTCTCAGCAGGAGTCCAGTCCCTGTGCTCCTCAGAGTCCAAGCAGGAGTCCAGTCCCTGTGCTCCTCAGAGTCCCAGCAGGAGTCCAGTCCCTGTGCTCCTCAGAGTCCAAGCAGGAGTCCAGTCCCTGTGCTCCTCAGAGTCTCAGCAGGAGTCCAGTCCCTGTGCTCCTCAGAGTCCTAGCAGGAGTCCAGTCCCTGTGCTCCTCAGAGTCTCAGCAGGAGTCCAGTCCCTGTGCTCCTCAGAGTCCCAGAAGGAGTCCAGTCTCTGTGCTCCACAGAGTCCCAGCAGGAGTCCTGTCCCTGTGCTCCTCAGAGACCCAGCAGGAGTCCAGTCCCTGTGCTCCTCAGAGTCCCAGCAGGAGTCCAGTCCCTGTGCTCCTCAGAGTCCCAGAAGGAGTCCAGTCCCTGTGCTCCACAGAGTCCCAGAAGGAGTCCAGTCCCTGTGCTCCTCAGAGTCCCAGAAGGAGTCCAGTCCCTGTGCTCCTCAGAGTCTCAACAGGAGTCCAGTCCCTGTGCTCCTCAGAGTCTCAGCAGGAGTCCAGTCCCTGTGCTCCTCAGAGTCTCAGCAGGAGTCCAGTCCCTGTGCTCCTCAGAGTCCAAGCAGGAGTCCAGTCCCTGTGCTCCTCAGAGTCTCAGCAGGAGTCCAGTCCCTGTGCTCCTCAGAGTCCAAGCAGGAGTCCAGTCCCTGTGCTCCTCAGAGTCCCAGCAGGAGTCCAGTCCCTGTGCTCCTCAGAGTCCAAGCAGGAGTCCAGTCCCTGTGCTCCTCAGAGTCTCAGCAGGAGTCCAGTCCCTGTGCTCCTCAGAGTCCTAGCAGGAGTCCAGTCCCTGTGCTCCTCAGAGTCTCAGCAGGAGTCCAGTCCCTGTGCTCCTCAGAGTCCCAGAAGGAGTCCAGTCTCTGTGCTCCACAGAGTCCCAGAAGGAGTCCAGTCCCTGTGCTCCTCAGAGTCCCAGAAGGAGTCCAGTCCCTGTGCTCCTCAGAGTCTCAACAGGAGTCCAGTCCCTGTGCTCCTCAGAGTCTCAGCAGGAGTCCAGTCCCTGTGCTCCTCAGAGTCTCAGCAGGAGTCCAGTCCCTGTGCTCCTCAGAGTCCAAGCAGGAGTCCAGTCCCTGTGCTCCTCAGAGTCCCAGCAGGAGTCCAGTCCCTGTGCTCCTCAGAGTCCGGGCTGGTTCATATGGGACTAACATGTCACTAATATATTTTGGTGCGAGGCCATGGAGAGACTTGTACACAAGCAAAGCTGTTTTAAAGTCTATTCTCTGAGCCACAGGAAGCCAGTGCAGAGACCTGAGAACTGGACTAATGTGGTCTTACTTCCTGGTTCTAGTCCGGACTCGAGCTGCTGCATTAGGAAAACATCCCTAAACCCTAAAAGTATCAAGTTATTATGTGTTTTCCAATAGTAATTAAATTAACCAGATGTCTGTAGTAATCATGTAATAAAAAATATTTGTAGCGAACCGATAAAAATTAACCAATGGGATTCGTTCATCTCCAACAAACCAATGGGATGTGTTTACCCCCTTCACCCTCTTCCAGTTTCTCCCGAGTGCACCGGAGTTATCAGATTTTCTAAAACCTAAAATGGCTGAACAGAACATTTGTAGAACACAAAACATCAGCTGTTTCAGACACACTTTGGACTCGCTGCTGTTTCCAGTGCATTCAAAAGTAAGATGTTGGTAAACAAGGAAGCGACTAACGGCAATTCTTCTTTTCTTTCACAAACAAACTCCGCCGCTCTCACGCCTATTTTCTCAAACAAGTATGTCACAGTTTTTCTGCTCCTCCGACCCAAGAAACCATCAGAGCCTTCGTTTCCGGTTTGCCACTTGTCACTCCCTGAAGGCCACGAATCCAATTTAATGCATGTATTCACAAACCTGTTGCGAGAGATGATGGTGGAGGAGGAGGAGGAGGAGGCGGCTGGGGAGGGGGAGGCAGCCTGCTCCTCATTTTAATGAAGATGTCTGCTTCTCTTCGTGTGGATCGCAGTAAGACCAGAGAGATCTCATTATCAGGACTGACTTTAGTTTTGCTGGGATGATGTTTTACTTTTAAACCTGAGTCTGTAAAGTATGTTTTATAGAAACAGGAAGTGAGATATATTCATAAAAACCACATTTCTGGAACCAAATCTCTTTACTCTTTGGTGTAAGATTTTGTCCAATCACAGTAAAGACAGAAGCTTTGTCCATGTTATCAATGGAAGGGACATCACATTCTTCTTCACCTTCTTCTTCTTCTTCAACTTCTTCTTCTTTAACTTCTTCTTCAACTTTTTCTTCACCTTCTTCTTCACCTTGTTCTTTGCCTTCTTCTTCAACTTCTTCTTCTTTGTCTTCTTCACCTTCTTCTTCTTTGCCTTCTTCAACTTTTTCACCTTCTTCTTCTTCAACTTCTTCTTCAACTTTGTCTTCTTCAACTTCTTCTTCTTCGTCTTCTTCTTCTTCAACCTCTTCTTCTTCGCCTTCTTCGTCTTCTTCTTCGCCTTCTTCTTCGCCTTCTTCTTCAACTTCTTCGCCTTCTTCGTCTTCTTCTTCGCCTTCTTCGCCTTCTTCTTCGCCTTCTTCGCCTTCTTCTTCGCCTTCTTCTTCAACTTCTTCGCCTTCTTCTTCACCTTCTTCTTCACCTTCTTCTTCAACTTCTTCTTCACCTTCTTCTTCACCTTCTTCAACTTCTTCACCTTCTTCTTCACCCCCTTTTTCTTCAACTTCACCTTCTTCTTCAACTTCTTCTTCAACTTCTTCGTCTTCTTCAACTTCTTCTTCTTCAACCTCTTATTCTTCAACTTCTTCTTCGCCTTCTTCTTCAACTTCTTCTTCACCTTCTTCTTCAACTTCTTCTTCAACTTCTTCGTCTTCTTCAACTTCTTCTTCTTCATCTTCTTCTTCTTCAACCTCTTATTCTTCAACTTCTTCTTCGCCTTCTTCTTCACCTTCTTCACCTTCTTCTTCACCTTCTTCTTCAAACTTCTTCTTCACCTTCTTCTTCACCTTCTTCTTCAACTTCTTCTTCTTCACCTTCTTCTTCACCTCCTTCTTCTTCTTCACCTTCTTCTTCACCTCCTTCTTCTTCAACTTCACCTTCTTCTTCACCTTCTTCTTCGCCTTCTTCTTCTTCTTTTTCTTCACCTTCTTCTTCTTCGCCTTCTTCACCCTCTCCATCTTCTTCGCCTCCTGGATGGATGGATGGATGGATGGATGTATGTTTTTCAAAGCCTTGTAATTACGCCTGTATGAATCACACCAACCGCAGATTTCAAGTTCGAGTCTGATTTTACGAACGTTGCCTTTTTCCCGTCACAATCACTAATAACCTCCAAACCCTGAACTCTAAGATAAACCCAGTCTGAACTCTATAGTCACTAATCATAAGAAATCAGCGAAGGGCGAAGTAGATATTTTTTCTTTTCTTCACTGCTGTCAAACACACAAAGGCGACGCTGCCATCTCTGAGCCAAAGACGGCAACAATGGATGGAGCAGAGGATCATGGGAACTGACTGTGCATAAAGTCTCCCCCATTTGCGCACTGCTTACACAATAGAGCCGTGATTAGGAGTGACAGTTCCCGCTTCCTCATTTCCAGCCCGTGAATGGTGTTGATTCGATGGAGCTTGGATCATGTTTGACCTGCAGAGGTGTGTTTAACCAGAATGAGCTTTTCTATAAATCTCAGACGGACACGGAGACTTCATTAGGCCTGAAGAGTAACCAGTTATAAGCCCATTGTTTGTGTAATGGTAATGATATTGATTCTTCCATCACTCTGCTTAGGTTCAATAACACAGAAAAGCATTGATCTCACGGAAAAAGAAGAAATATCATCATTACAAGGAGTTATCTCGTCAATTACTTAGAGGAGCAGTGTGTCAAAATGTGGCCAAAAGTGGTACTGCAGCCTCTCCCACTCTCCCTGACTCAGGTTGCCAGATATGCAGACGAATCCAGCTGGGACCATAACAGCTGAATAGACAAGAGTTTAGTCAACAACAAATCTATAACCAACACCTTTTTCACAAAGATAGAAATCCTGGTTTTATTCCTTGTTTTGTCGTTAATGATTTGAGAATCATAACGAGACCTTTTTTAGTTCTGCGCCACATGGTACTTTACCAGTGAGATTAGCTCCACGCGGTGAGTTCTGGCACCCGGATCACAGACTTTCTGATTGGTAAAACGGTGGAGGGCGGGACATCAAAATGAAAACAATAACAAGATTTAGAGGCTGGAAAACTACTTTGGAAATCTCTGAACAACTGTTATCAGTTAAAGAAGTATTGGAAAAGAGCAGTTTATTATTAATGATGATGGATTAGGGCCCTTTAATGACGACTGGACATGAAAATCTCACACATTGCGACTTAAACAAGGTAAACATCAGATACCGATTCTTCCCTAAACTGAAGTATTTTCTGTTCAGAGATTACGTCAGAATCAAAGGTTCCTCTTCTCCAGTTTTTCTTTCATAAATCAATGAGGTTCAGATCACAAAATCGTTGTTCTTTCTTAATTATAGAGCTGCAAACCCAACGACAGAGAGAGAAAAGGGAAAAATCTATTCTAACCTCATCACCTGAACATCTGTCATGATAAAAAATATAGATTTTATTGTTTTTGTCCAGAGGAAAAATGTACAATTATAGTGGTTTCTATTGTATTTCAACATTACCCATGTCCCTGTGGTCCCTGTGGTCCCTCTGGTCCCTGTGGTCCCTGTGGTCCCTGTGGTCCCTCTGGTCCCTGTGGTCCCTGTGGTCCCTCTCCGCTTCTTATGATTCTCAAATCATTAACAACAAAACAAGGAATAAAACCAGGATTTCTATCTTTGTGAAAAAGGTGTTGGTTATAGATTTGTTGTTGCTCTTGACTATTCAGCTGTTATGGTCCCAGCTGGATTCTGAATGAATGAGAGAAATGTGTTTAACATTTTTGGAAAAAGAAAGTGCTCTTCTGTAAATTAAAATCTATACTATTTTAAATCAAATAACTCAGCACACACACAGACACACACACACACTATCAATCAAGCTTATTATTATTATGATTTGTGACAAAACGACAATAATTTAAAATATAATTGTATTATGTGATGTATTGTCATGTCCACAATTTAAATAAATAAATAAATAAAAACATATGGATTGTTTGGCTTCTTTTACCTGCAGATGTTGGTTAAATAAAATAAAATAAATTACATTACTCTCACTGGATTGAAGCATACAAATGCTAACCTTTCTACACACTCAGTCACCATTTTATCGCCTGTGTCGTATCAGAGATGTTCGGGGAATGTGAGGTGTGTGAAGCAGCGCGTGGAAGAGTCCTCACCGATTGTTTGGATGTTCGAGACGAGGAGGTACAGGAAATCTGGTGTCCGCAGATCGATCCCCGTCGAGTGGAGAGCTCAGTCTGCGCCAGGTCCTCTCAGATTAACACCTTTCTCCTTCAACACAATGGAGAAATTACAACTCAATCCCAGAATGCTTTGCAGTTTCACAGTAAAAAGTGACATTTAAAAAGTGTAAAGATTATAGCATGATATTCTAGTTATTATTATTGTATGTTCATTTGATTGGGTTGGGTAGATATAGATAGATAGATACTGTAGATAGATATACATAGATAGACACATCTGATCGTGATCCTTCTGCAGGTGCTGAGTCCAAGGAGCCTTGATATTTCAGCGGGGGCTTCAGGCAAAGTGGGGTTAAGTGTCTTGACCAAGGTAGGTCTCATGATGGGCTCGAACCCACAACCTTCAGGCTCAAAAGCCAATGCCCCATGTTAGGTCCTGTTTTCAGTCTCAGACACTTGTTCTGAGGCCTCCATTTTCCGATCGAGCTGCAGACTCAATGTTCAGTCAGTATTTGTTTTAAACTCATGTCTTCGTCTCATTGGTTGCCGCCTGCAGCCGGGTTTTCTCTGCATGATGCATGGTCGTGTGTGTCTGTCGGGTTTGTTGTGTGCGTCTGTGTCGGGTTTGTTGTGTGCGTCTGTGTCGGGTTTGTTGTGTGCGTCTGTGTCGGGTTTGTTGTGTGCGTCTGTGCGGCTGCTACAGTCTTCACACCGAGTCTTGTATTGACCTGTTAAACTGTTTCTGCAACTCCTCGTGAAATGTATTTTCTTTTGCTCCTCAGAGTCCCAGCAGGAGTCCAGTCCCTGTGCTCCTCAGAGTCCCAGCAGGAGTCCAGTCCCTGTGCTCCTCAGAGTCCCAGCAGGAGACCAGTCCCTGTGCTCCTCAGAGTCCCAGCAGGAGTCCAGTCCCTGTGCTCCTCAGAGTCCCAGCAGGAGTCCAGTCCCTGGGCTCCTCAGAGTCCCAGCAGGAGACCAGTCCCTGTGCTCCTCAGAGTCCCAGCAGGAGTCCAGTCCCTGTGCTCCTCAGAGTCCCAGCAGGAGACCAGTCCCTGTGCTCCTCAGAGTCCCAGCAGGAGTCCAGTCCCTGTGCTCCTCAGAGTCCCAGCAGGAGACCAGTCCCTGTGCTCCTCAGAGTCCCAGCAGGAGGCCAGTTCCTGTGCTCCTCAGAGTCCCAGCAGGAGTCCAGTCCCTGTGCTCCTCAGAGTCCCAGCAGGAGACCAGTCCCTGTGCTCCTCAGAGTCCCAGCAGGAGTCCAGTCCCTGTGCTCCTCAGAGTCCCAGCAGGAGACCAGTCCCTGTGCTCCTCAGAGTCCCAGCAGGAGGCCAGTCCCTGTGCTCCTCAGAGTCACAGCAGGAGGCCAGTCCCTGTGCTCCTCAGAGTCCCAGCAGGAGGCAGTCCCTGTGCTCCTCAGAGTCCCAGCAGGAGGCAGTCCCTGTGCTCCTCAGAGTCCCAGCAGGAGGCAGTCCCTGTGCTCCTCAGAGTCCCAGCAGGAGGCAGTCCCTGTGCTCCTCAGAGTCACAGCAGGAGGCAGTCCCTGTGCTCCTCAGAGTCCCAGCAGGAGGCAGTCCCTGTGCTCCTCAGAGTCACAGCAGGAGGCAGTCCCTGTGCTCCTCAGAGTCCCAGCAGGAGGCCATTCCCTGTGCTCCTCAGAGTCCCAGCAGGAGACCCATCCCTGTGCTCCTCAGAGTCCCAGCAGGAGACCAGTCCCTGTGCTCCTCAGAGTCCCAGCAGGAGACCAGTCCCTGTGCTCCTCAGAGTCCCAGCAGGAGGCCGGTCCCTGTGCTCCTCAGAGTCCCAGCAGGAGACCCATCCCTGTGCTCCTCAGAGTCCCAGCAGGAGACCAGTCCCTGTGCTCCTCAGAGTCCCAGCAGGAGGCCGGTCCCTGTGCTCCTCAGAGTCCCAGCAGGAGACCAGTCCCTGTGCTCCTCAGAGTCCCAGCAGGAGACCAGTCCCTGTGCTCCTCAGAGTCCCAGCAGGAGGCAGTCCCTGTGCTCCTCAGAGTCCCAGCAGGAGACCAGTCCCTGTGGTAAAATGTTTCAGTTCCATGGCGCTGTAATTATGGAATATTGTTAAAGCGACTGATTCATCTCCTCTGGTTGTCGCTCTGTTGTGTTTTTGTCCGTTTCTTCTTGTTTTGATTTTGGAGTTCCGTTTGGGGTCCTGGATTTAGTTTCATTTGGTTTATTTAAAGGAGACATACAGTTTCTCCATGCTATCCTTCATCATCATTGCGGTTCACTATCTCACCGGAATTAAATGAACTTGACCAGTGATCACGGATTCTAACTGCGGTCGTTTTGATTTAAAGTGACTTCTAAAACATTGCCAATTTATATTCACTTTGGTTTCTAATGAACTGAAATTAAAGGATGAAAATGTGATGAAATGATACAGCTTGTGGTAATAAAAACGCCGCTCCGTTTCTCTCCAGACACCGCCGTGAGAATGTAGTAAGTCAAAAGTATTTACTGTATACACCGCCTTTCCCAGACCACATTCACAAAGCAGTTTACAATTGTGGTGTAGAAAACCCGCAGTCTCCTCCACCCGCCCTTCAGTCTGCCTCCGTCCATCATCTCCTCTCAAGGTGTCTCACAAGTCACCGCGGCGCCAATGTTTTAGCCTCGGTGAGAGCACTTGCTAGTTTAGCGTTAGCAAAATAACATTAGCGAGCACAGAGTGTCCCAAACCACATCCATAAAGGCCAAACCCTATCGTCCAGAGTCCAAACAGGAGCGTGGAGGAGCCCGGGCACGGCGGCTGAGTGGTTAGCCCTCAAGTTCTCAGCTAATAGGTTCAGGGTTCGAA